TTGGGATGGACTGTATAGCCAATACATCCTTAATAATAATAAATAATGATAAAAAGGAAATACCAATTGTGTTTAACAAAATTATTATAGCTGGCAGAAGGATCAATTTCTGGCCGATATTTCGACGCTGGAAATGGATAGAAAGAAATCGTCTTTTTTATTCGCTCATAAGAATCCAGATTGGAACGAGACTGCAGAAAGATATGCAGTGGCTATTACTCAGTTGCATCACAGTAAATTTTCCTCTTTTCGCTGGTCTAGTCTACGAGAAATATTTGAAAAATGCGATGTGTGTCCATTTATTGTCCTTTGCCAACACAAATTAACGACATAATGAAATCTATTATAATTTTGTATGTCATTTATAGATTGTATACGACAAAGAGAAGCGGCAAGGGTCGAGCATAGTTCTGCACGATGGTGAAATTAGGAAATTCGGTACAATGGTAGCTGTTACTTCAAACATGACCACCACGTTATCTATGGTACACAAAGGTCTGTCTAAATTGCACAAAATTCTGATGAATAAAGCGAAAAGGAAGACGGAGACGAATTTACCGGCTCTTATAGATCTATTTTCGAAACTTTCGCTCGATTATAAGAATTTATCCGCCGACAAATGTATACCGTATTATTAAATCATGTATAATTTACATGTATCACTTGTAATCGAAATATGTATAAATAAAATAAATTTTTAACTCGACGACGTGTTTTTTAATTCATCTTCATATTTACCGTCCTCTATGCTCTTACATATTAGTTGACAGAAATAAAATGAAAAACTAATTTTCAACGAATGCCAACTTCAGAAGTTATAAAAGCGATATGCAGGTTAATTCCAAAGTGATCGAGAAATTTGATGAAGAAACCTCGGAACAATGCGTCCGTCGTCACAATTAGATTTACATTATGATGCCATGTTATTGTTAGTTAAGCAAGATAACATGATACCTACTCATATAAATTTCATTATTGGCGGAGTATCTGGGTAAGAAACTAAAAAAATATACACATACATATTTTTCTAATGTAATTACTTCATTAATTCTAATTTCTTTATTCGTAATGCGTTGCGAAAAGACTCGAATCCCAAAGCTTTGTATCATTTATTAATCTTTTGAAATAGCTGCGTAGGGCAAACTGCTACGCACCCAATGGATGTAGTTAAAATACGGATGCAAATTGCGAAGACGCCTTTGATCACAACGATAGGCAGAACTTACCGCGAAGTCGGTTTCCGCGGATTTTACCTCGGTTGGACCGCCGCTATGCTCCGGCAATTGACTTATACTACTGCGAGGCTCGGAATGTATCACACGTTATACGATTTAGGCCAGTAAGCATACATTGCGCTTTAATCAAGTAATACGTGTGCTGCTTCAATTATCTTATGTTTTACGTATAGCAGTTAAAATTGATAATTTAGAAATTATTTCGGCCATTTAAACTATCTTTCAATGATTGGCATCGGAATGTTGTCTGGCGTTGTGGGCGCGTTCGTCGGTACACCGAGTGACGTGGTTTTGATTCGTATGATAAGTGACATACAATTACCTCCAGGTGAATAATCGATATTTTGTACAAGTGTGAAGTGTACTAAATGAATTTTGTAAAAATAAGGAGCAATATTATAATTTTAACGGCGGCGTAAATCGAGGGACGAATTTTTAGAGAAACGTCGGAATTACAGAAACGCTATCACCGGCGTAATTGACATCGGCAGAAAGGAAGGTCTTCGCGGATTATGGAGAGGTGCTGTGCCAACTATGACAAGAGCAGCGATTGTCAATGGATCGCAATTAGGCACATATAGTAAAGTGAAGATAATGTTAATCGATACAGGTATTACATTTGACTAAAATTATTACGTATGACTTCAATTATTACGTGTTATTTTAATTTCTTCAGGTTTATTTCAAGAAGGTGTAGTACTTTCGTTCATGGCAGCAATGCTATCAGGACTAGTGATGTCTTTAACATCACTTCCTGTAGATTTAGCTAAAACTAGGTATTCGATAGAGTTTTATATGTTTTTATGGTCTACAAATTTTTATTTACAAGCAATAATTATTGTAGAATACAAAGTTTGTCTGGAAAGGCGAAACCGCCAGGTATCTTGCAAGTGTTGATACACATAGTAAAGATGGAAGGAATTCCAGCATTGTGGCGCGGATTTTTACCATATTATGCTAGAGCAGCGCCTAATGCCGTAGTTACTTTAATATGTTTAGACGGACTAAGACATGGATATTTCACACTGTTTGTAGCTCGAAGTGAATAAAATAAATAATATTCGTAGTATTCAAAATTTTATTGTTCACTCATTTTCTTTTTCTTGGTCCTAATGAAAAATATTTCAGATAAAACTTGTAGCTTTAGTTGTCGGATACAAGAATGGTCCTATGCAATTTCCTGCCAGAAGACAGGAGATGATAATAATTCAATAAATGAATAAACTTTAGTTATTTTTTATATTTCATTTAATTCTACTCCGTAAACAAATTCCTTTTGTACAGGACATTTACATATATTATACATGTGACTAATCACGAAAATTTTCTAAGCCTTAAGTTCTTCATTTGTTACGTATACATGTATAGCCTAAACTTTTTCGTAATTTGTTCGTTAATTATGAATGTCAAAACCGTGTGTGGACCAATTCGACAGTAAGTAGGCCAGAAACCTTTCCAAAGTGCCGGTATGCCTTCGTTCTTTCCTATCAGTATTATCATTGGTATCAGACTTGGTGGTTTTCCAGCTGTAGTCTTCAAGTTTTGTATCCTACACATGCAACATTCAAGTAACATGTTCTTAAGAGAACAAGTAGCAATTGGTCAGAAATGCATGATTGTAAAATCGACGCCACTTCACCTCGTTTTTGCCACATCTAGAGGCATAGAATTAAAGGAAGCGAGGAACCCGGAGAGCATTGACGCACAAAAGTGTAGACCGATGCCTTCCTTCAATTGAACTGAAATTGGCAGACACAATTTAGTATAAAAGTTGGAAGAATTATCAGACGGTTAGAAATACATTTCTTGGACATCAAATATTTCGCTTGGCTGTATGTTGCAAGCTGTGATATATTGACGACTACTGCGCGTCCCATCGTCGGTATACTTCCTCTCCAAAGAGTAGTAACCCCTTCCTCTTTTGATATCCTCGTGAATGCGTTGAATACGCCTTTGTAATTTCTTCGTTGTTCTAATAAAGTAACATACGATACGTTAAAACTGCTATAATTAATTTTTTAATTACGCTATTTCGACCTAAAGGAGAGATTGAATTTTTCGAGACAAAAAAATATAACAGAGTAATTTCACTCTTTAACAGCGTGGTTCCTGTCAATGACCTGGTGGTAATCTGGCATCGGACGTCATTCTCACAAGGGCAACATCCGCGGGAGTACCAACGAAGGCTCCAATTGATCCCGCAGTACCTGCCATTAGTGATAATACACCAAAACTGGGTTTTCCAGTATGCTTGCGCCTGTGTGTAGTAAATTTTACTGACTACTGTACATTGTAAAGAAAACGTATGAAATTACCTCCGTAATAACTTACTTCCATTCATCTTGAAGCGTGTTATAGATACCAAGTCTCGTGGTAGTATACGTAAGCTGTCGTAGCAAACCAGCAGTAAGACCGGAATAGAATTTCGAAATTCCCTGTTCTTTTTGTACCTTTTTGATCACACCAAGAATTGAAATCTTTTCCGTTTGTACCTGCATTTGATTCTTTATCACATCCATAGGATGTACTACACACGTTGCTGCCATTCTAAAAGTCAACAGCGACAATCGTCATTATATACGATATGTACTGTTCATGCATAATTTATATTACATAGATTTAATACATGTATAGATACATTGGTTGAAATATATAGTGGTGCAAGTAGATGAAAGTGAAACCTATTGTAGTCATTTACTTACCCCGAAGTACCAGCATTTGCAAAGGTAAATAAGCGAGGGAGTGGTTTTAAAGGGGCTTTTTTCTCTTGGGTTTCTTTATCAGACATTTTTAATAGATTTTGAAGGTTTCTGGATCGCCAAATTACTTTTACTCAACCACAGGTGTTATTTCATTTGTATATTACATTTATCAAATCTTGAGTGACTCCTTCTTCTAACGAGCGACTTACAAAAGTAAAGACTCATAAAAATAAATATTCTTAACAAAATAAAATAAAATAAGTCTAAAACATTTAAACGGGACAAACACGTTTATGACATGACAGACATTAAAACGATTAAAACTGAGTGAATCTAACTGATATTAATCAAACAGAATCTAACGAGTTATCATAGATGGAACAAGTGCCAAATAATTAGGCTGCATATTCATTTAAGCATTGATTTTAAATAAGCAATAAATGCGCATTGTGTATATACAATAGGAAAACTAATGTATAATTTGCGATCTTTGACGTGTAATAAAAATTACAATATTTTAAATTAAGACTTGTTCTTATAATAATTAAATACAGAAATAAACTTTAATATTTTTTTATTTGTATACTTTCCATAAAGATACGAAATATGTTTTTACAAAGTCGTAAGAATACGGTATGATTCCAAAATTTGAATACCAGGCATTCAATCAATAGTGATAAGGAATAAGCGCTAAAATCCTTGACACATGCAATCTACATTCGTTTTTAATATTACAAATAATGGATTTTTTCTTCGGGAACATATTTTGTACATTTGAGAACTCTCCGTTTTCTTTTAGGCTCTGTAGCAATTCTTTCTTCCCTTTTTCTAGGTGGTATCAAACCCATTTCCTTCTTGCAATCCTATAATTTAAAGTTCTCCTCCTTAGACTAATTTCATTTAACTAAATGTCGTATCATGCACTTTATATACCTCTACAGCTTTAAGAATTGGATACAGCGGTCTCACGCCTTTAGATTCGTTTATAACTTCTTCAGCGTAATCAAGAACTTTGCGATTCTCTATTTCAGTAATTTTTTTTACATCTGTAGCTTCATCAGCGTCGAGCTTTTCTTGTTTGCGTTCAGCTTCTTTTTCAGTCTAGAAGAATACACAGAAAAATCGTAACCGTTCAAATGCAGAATAAATTGCATCAATCACATACCATAGTTTGTTTCAATAAGCTCGCGTATTTATTCTTTCTCTCCCATTCCTCCTTCCGTTCTTCGGCCTCGCGATTTTTGTCACATTCGTCCTTCTTAAATCTTTGCAACATTTCCCACATTTTCATTTCCCTTTCCTCTTGACTCTGCCTCGCTTTCATAGCCATCGTTTCTAATCGAAAATCATTTATCTCCTTCCGCATTTGTGTCCTTCGTTCTTTTTTTATTCGTTGTTGTTCTTGATATTGTTCCTCCTGCTCTTCCAGAGCTTTCTTCAATATTTCTTCCTCCATAGTCGATTCTTTTATCAAAAACGAACGGAACTGCTCAGCTATAAACATAATTAATTATCAATATGTAAATTACTTTTCTTAAGCGGTGTACAATTTGGAATAAAATTCTATTACTTATCGCTTGAGATCGCTTCTCCCTTTCCTCTTGCTCTTTCTGTCTTAACGATTTGTGTAGCTTCTGTATTCGTAGTTTAGCGTTGCGATAAATTTCATTTGCTCGATCTTCAAACTCGTCTTCGTACTTGAGCTTCAAATTGTATTCCTTCTTCTCCTCTATGGCATCATTAAAAAATTTCTTCAATTTCTGCTTCTTCTCTTCCAACTACAAACATAATTTTTACTTTATACATGTATGTCATGAGAATTATAATTATCGTATGGCAGTGCAGTTTTGAAGACAAACTTGTTGGGCCTCGAATTCTTTCACATCCTTCAAAGATTTATTCATATTTATTTGATCTTGCTTCGCGGCTTCGTATTCTTCCCTTTCTTTTGTCTCGACAGCATTTCTGTTCTCTTCGATTCTTAAAAAAAGAGAAAATTATGCATCATTTATAGTATTGTCAAACACATGAGAAAACTTACTGCCGCTTTAACTCGGCAGCATATATCCTTTGTTTTTCCAACTGTTGCTCTGCTTTCTGTTTCATTTCTTCCTCGTACTTCGCTACATCCTCCTTTAACTGCTTCACGTAGGCAAGCTCCTCATCTTTATCTACTTGTTTAAGAGTTTCTCGAAATTTCAACTGCGCATCCAATTCTCTAAAGCACTATCGGAATCGGCAATAAGTAATACCAAACCTCAAGAGCAGAAATCAAAACGAGTTCGATAAAATCTTTATACAGTGGAACGTTGATTTTTACATATTATTTGGACAAATTGGGAGAGAAACTCGTATATACAAGTGACTCTTCGGATAATCGACGTTCAACTGTATTCGTCGTGTAAATTTGTCATGCAATAATTTGTACTAATACCTCAGAGACAAGAAGAGCTTGATTAATTCTTCTGCACATTGGTTTTTTGTACAGAATAAACCGTTTCGCTTGTTTTATTATTTCCTCCGTCTCCGCTGCTTTCCTTTCCGCAGCCTCCTTCACGAATCGTTCTCTTTCCTCTGCAGCCTTCCTCTCTTTAGCTAACAATTCTTCTATCCTCCTTCTTTTCATATCCTGCCATAATAAAAACCGCATACCTCATTATCGCAAAAAGCTTGTAAACACATATGTAGATTATCGAATAAAAGTTGTTCAATTATCACATAATTTGCATTTATTATTCCGTAATATATCTGAGATTTATTACTTCTTTAACAGAAGTCACTGTCCTTTCTTCTTTTTGCGTTTCCACTTCATTTTTATTTGTTTCAGTCTCATCACCTTTCTCATCCGGGCACAGTGCGGAAATATTATTAACGTCAAGTTCTGTGCTTTCTGGAGTAATCGTTTCGACAACATCTTTTGATATCTAAAACATGTGCAAGCAACGAGGAGTTCTCTTATGAAAAATTAAATTATAATAAATTAGTTTTAGTTTGTATAGTTATAAATTGTACATTGTATATGTATATGTATAGACTAGTTTATAATGTGAAGTAAGTCGAGTTCTAACGTTAATTAAAAAAAGAACATATAATGAAAATGGAGTATTTGATAATAGAACACATGTACACACGTACTTTAACATTTTTCGTTAACTTTTTTGCCTTGCCATTATGCCTAGTGGTCGTTAATACTTGACTTTTATTTAACACCATAATTATAATTTGTACATGACACTGTTACTATTAGACAGAAATATAACACAGGTCGCCCGATTTCGTTGATTGGTACGGCAAATAACTTCCCATGGTGCAGTCGTTGTCTTGGAAACTCAACTGGGAACGATCGATATAATTTAAGGAATCTTACAACTTTCATAAAAATTAGCGTGAAATCATCAATAAAAATCGTATCGATACTTTCAGCGAGTAGGATTACGTATGATTACGTATTTCTAAAAGACAATTGTTACATTAAAATAGTTACTACGTTTTATACGAATATAGAAGACCCTCTTCTTATTATTTATATATTAAAATATCGTGTTAATAATTAAATAGATTTTTACTCCTTGTTAAGATTTCAAATTGTATTGAAATCGCTTTTAAGAGTATTTTGCATGTAAATTATCGTGCCATTTTTATTTCACGATGATCAATCCTGAGGGTGGGAAGTTGAGATCAGGAATTACTCCTTTTTACGATCACCCGAATGATCCTACGTAATGATGGATAAACGAGGGGAAGTATGTTCCCGCTACTGATCTTTATTTTCAGTATTATAGCTTTAAGGAATAATACATCTTCATGTGTATTCGTATGTATAATGAATATTTCTCATATTTTGTTATCTTTTCTATGTTTTCTTAGAAGAAAATGCCGATTTATAGAATAAAAGAAGAGACTTTGTATGGAATTAGTATAAAAATTAGTTTACTATTACAATTTTAAACATCTTAACAAGATAGTGTTCACTCTGTAATTATGCATTGTATATTTATTTTCTTTAAAAATAAAATAGATGATATTTCAAAATGATGAAAGCACGGTAATCAATCAAAAAACTCTATATTTATGAAAATTACATTATCCGAACAAAATCATTTTCTTTTCTATCGACATAAATATTCTTTACAAGTCCTATGAATTATAAAAATAGAATGCCTGTAATACGAAATTTAATGATAAAATCTTTATTGAACGTATAAAATATATTCGCAATCAATACAGATTTCATTTGACTAGCTTTCGCATGTCTCCGTTTGAAGCGTTTCACGGAATGGCCGCAAGATGACCGTTTAGCGTGATCGTGGTCGTGCACCTGTGATGACAGCACGTGCTACAGCTGAGTGGCGGGTCTCTTTCTTGGAAAAGTGAGTATAATCGTATTTTAAAAGTGTTCACCGCTTTCTAAAGTCCACCCGACCTTCATCCATTATATCCTCGATTCAGCCCTTTGACTCATATCTAAAAATTTCCCCGTGTGTCAACGTATTTCTTCGAAATATGTCTCTATTTACTGGACGCTCGCACATGTACTTACCGCCAATGCTACTACAATAAACTATAGGTCGTGTAATTAACCTTGATACAGCGAATTAGTATTTATTGATAAGAGTCATTTATCACGAGCAAGGTTAGAACGTTGATAGAGTAATTACGTTTATCTATGTGTAGATATTTCCTGTTCGAAGCACGTGTAACTCGAATCGGAGTTGTTTTTAATACTAACCTAACCCTTCCCGCACGCATAGATTTGTCGACGCATCGCGGCGTTAAGTAACACGTTACAGTATATCTTGATTTTAATTCCTGTTTGGACGACTAACTAGAAGCATCTATGTGCTTATTACAATTTGTGATTCTACGTAATTAAAACGTCGTGAAATTAAAAGAAGAATCGTGGATAGAATCGCAGGTATTGTTCATGTTATTTGTGATTGGAGTAATAAGAATTACGAAAATGTATTGCGTTTGATTATGCAAAGTGAAATAAATTAACGTTGGAGTTCTTTTGTTTTGTATTCTTTGGATTAGAACATTTTTAATAATATGCAAATATTCAAAGTACATCCTCGAAAATTTTGTTACTTATAATAACGTGGAAGTATACTGAACTATAAAAAATATGTTGGAATTCGATGTGGAGAAATAAAAAGATAAGAAAAATAGTTATATCATGTCGAGAAATAGTACAGTCTCGTAAAAGATATTGTAATTATATAATTAATAATAGTCGATGCAGAAATTTGATTTAATTTAATATCGATTTAATAACTCGAATGTTAGTTGCTGAAAATAAAAACTGTACTAATTGAAATTGGCGTATATTTATTTTTAAGAAATATTTTGTAATCTTGATGTTTTAATAATAATAGATCTTTTGTCCTTTACTTGTGTTAACAGAATGATTTCTGATGTTTCAGGTGAACGGGAAGACCAGTGACGGTGAAGGAATGTTCGGGCTTTGAGACTAGTAACACCTGTGTAGAGTGAGTACTTGTCAAATGTTAATTTTTCTTCTTTCCAATTCTAATTGGCATAATTTTTTTACTTTGTAACACGAAATGTGCATGCGATTAGTAATCTGTTTTCTATAATGAAAAATGTTTTGTTATACCGGAAAGAATATAATTACCGATGATTAGCAATTTACTTAAGTGCTTGCAATTTTTGAAAAGTGATTGAAGGGCACGAAATGCTTAGTCGATAGGTAATTATGATGGGCAGGGATGAATAAGTGGAATGAATTTCACAAGATAATATTTATCAATGAAACGTATTTATTAAAAATCTAGTATTTCCCTACGTCTACAGTAAATATCACAGGTACTTGTTTCTCTATCACAACATCCTCTGCTCGGCTATCCTTGTTGACAATTACAACAGCAATTGGAATTTTCTAATTTTTGTCAAATATACAAATCTGTGACATTATCAGGCCGAGGGGACGTAACAACGTTTTTGGCGCGAGAAGAGACCTTTCTTGTATTGATTTAGGCGCGAACTCGTGCCGTGGTTGATGCGAGTATCCTACAAGTTCACACGATATTCTCGCGCCAAAAGTGGACAAAATAAAAAATTCTCGATAAAAGTAATAAACAATACAAAACTCTAACCGTGAAGTAAATTAAAGCTTCAGTCGCGACATATCAACGTATTTACATCGAGATCTTAGTTGTTCCCAACTCTTACAACCTTATTCAATCAACGAATACATAATATATCCGTAGGACGCTAGGACAATAATGAAAACTTATTCCGATACATTTTCTCCGTTTTTCCCTTCACTCCGAAGTATTTTGAGCAAATAGAAATTCTAGAGTCCATGATTCTTCGTCTTCTTCTGCATCTTCGATCCTCGAAGAATACATGTTTGCACATCGTGTAGGCGGTGCAAGAATTGATCTTCTTGCCGCCAATTTCGCGGAACGAATCTCTCGACGAATATCGAGGATCCCGCGAAGTCCTCAGCTTCAGGAGCGAAATCTTCCGCTCGAATCACAGACAAAATTGCAACACCGGTAAACGTTCCTCACAGAATGGATTCTCTTTAGGATCGACGATCATTTCTTGAATCCACTTGCTCGAGAGCTTCGTTTAACCGGGTACGATGGCTTTGCCCGTTGGAATTGTTCGATCTCCTCGATTACCACGGTCTCCAGATAGGCTCGTTCGGTTTGGCGACTTGAAGGAGACCCTGATGGGTCTGAGACATGCTTTCAATGTCCGTTCTCACCGGAGACGGTTGGCTGGACGCTGGGGTGAGCGGCATCGAGTATTCGTCCGAGCTGATGTCGCTGTTCGAGGACGGCGAGGATTGCGGCGCGGCCACGTGGATCGTCAACGGACCGGTCTTGTCCATCGAATTCAATTTGTGACCCAAATGGGTCATCAGTTTCGTTCCCAAGGCGACGTCCACTCCCGGAGTCGCGGCTAGGCAGCGGCTGACTTCGTTAGCGCAGTGCGTGTACCCGGCTCTGAACCGATCCGCGTCGATCACCGGATTTGCGGACAGACGCTGTTGTCTCTGCAGCTTGTGAAGGTGGCGGACGGTCAATTCGAGGATGTCGGCCTTTTCTAGTTTCGCCACGTTCTCGCCGTCGCCGGCCAGAGCTGAGACCATCAGGTCCTTCAGCTCGTCCAAGCAGCGGTTGATTCTAGCCCGACGTTTGCGTTCCAGCATAGGTTTCATCACCTGTAAATTGAAAGTAACAATTCGTTATAGCTACTTGTTTTATTATAGAAATGAGTCTTCGAAAGAATTTCAGTGAATCTAATAATGCTTCGAACGAGATTAGAATTGTTCTTTATTATAGAAGAAAAGGTGAAGCTATGCAAGTATTCGAGTTGTCGGAATTTAAACGACGCTTACCTTTCTGTATTGATACGTTCTGGAGATCGGTTGCTCCTGGCCATCGACCATCATGATCTGGTCGTGCATCTGCATGATTAATCCTTTTAAATCGGAGGGTAGCTTCTCACACACCGATAACGAAACTTCACTGATTGCGTAACGATTCGCTTGTCGCGATGTCACTGAACGTTTCTAACGTGCACACAGCTATTCTCGTGGATACGAAGTATCGTTGAACTTGATCTATTTTCTCGCGTGGCTCGCTCGATTCGAAGGAAACGTATCGTACTGTTATACTCCGACACGTCTCCTGTTCGAACTTCGTGAACGATCACCGTGATTATGGTGGCTGTCGGGCGAGGCTGTGGCTTATATAGTCAAGGACCCATCGGCATGGTGGGGCGAGGGGTTGCAGTCGGGGACCTTAGTGGGGAACTGGCCTTCCGTGGGAACGGTCCGTAGAGGTTGGTTCCCAAGCAAGCACACCACCTGTAAGCGGCAGCTGCCAGACACGCGCCCACACCAAGCCATCGTCACCGTTTCTTCGTCTTCGTTTCTCCAACCGTCCGAGCCCGTATTTCTTACCTCCTCTGATCCTCCTCGGGTAGTCGTGCCACGGTATGCACGGCTTAACGTTCTCCTCTCTTTCTCTCTTTCGTTCTCTCTCACTCTTCGCTCCTGAAAGACTTGCTATTTCACGAACGTGAGCTCATACGGAAGGACCCAGGGTATCGACGTCCTCTCCTTAGTTTCCTTCTCACTGCGCGAACCGGAGCGAGCGACGGAGAAAGGAACAGTATCCTTTCTCGTTTCGCACACGCGTCTAGTCTTCCTCCTTTTTCCATTCTAGTTGCCCGAGGCGGCCAGTACATACATACACGACACACTCGTGCTACGTCTTCTTATCGTGATCCCGTCCTCGCCGCACGCCCGCGTCGATCTATAGTTTTGTCCTCGTCCGAGCCGAGCAATATCGTGGAGCGTGCTGGGCACAAGTCCGGCGTTCTCCCGATCGTAATCCCACTAGTTACACGTTACCGAATCACGGTACGCGTGTGCATGGCTACCGCGAAACGATACCGCGCCCGCTTCCTCCCGCCTCGCGATTGATTAATCATCCTCAGCCGCGTATTTAACCGGCGCGTGAGAGACGCGCCGCGGATGTGGGAGATGAATGTTGCATGAACTTGACGTTATGAAAAGGATGTGATGAATCGTTTATTATGGTTGTCGCGTGGGCGCGGACCTTCGACGGAGCGAGCACGTTATCGAACACGATAATTAACCGTTTATTCGGTCCGCGAGCCTCGTTCCGCTCCGTGTAATCCTTGACTAAAGACGGCGGACTCCAATACTCTCAATATAGCATTTTCTGATTCATCGCAGATAAGTGCTGTTATCTAAGATTTATCGCAAAATGTTTAAAAGAGAACGGTATTAAACGTTAGAATTTTAAATTCTCGATGAACGGGACGATGGGAGCGTTCTCGCATTTTCATTTTGATCCATTGAGATTTAATGGAAATTAGCTCGGCGATATTATTCGGATCGAGGTTTAATCTCGCTCGTATTTAAGATCGTCCTTCACTTCGGATAGTCATCGCCTGGAATGAATATCACGTGTACGTCTCCCCGGTCGCTGGAAGCATTTCCAGATACTAATTTCGTTGAGCCTTTTGCTGAATTATATCCTTCGTACCCCCTTCCAATCTTTCCCTATCCTTCTCCCTTTCCGAGGCTTCTCTTTTTTCCCCCCTCCGGGTCTTTCTTTTCTTTTTTCACCCGGTCGCTTCTTCCTGCCAACTACCTCGCTTATTTCTCCGCGAGTGGGGCACTTAAACATCGTTCGCACCGAATAATTACGCATGTTGGCTTCATCCTTCTCTCCTCCTGGCTCAGTCCTCGCCTGCCCGGCCGCCTCCTTCTTGCTACCGCGATTTTACGAGCCATCCTTCGTCTTCTTCGTAGTCGCCTGCTTCTTGTTCTTCCTCTTATCCTCCGCGTCCATACCTTTCTTGGCTTCGTCGTTTTTCGCTGCTCCCTTGAGCCGAGCAATTGCACGTGTCCCTAACGACGCCGGCACCTCCGTGGAACGCGCCTGGTGCTCTTATTCTCCGCTCAGCGATGACCAGCATCCTCCCTCTGATTCTCTTGTTTACTATGCAGCGGATTCCAATTAGCCTGATGTCTGCGGGAGAAGCTTATGCCGCGTTTTGCTATATTTCTGATTATCAGTTTCATTTCGTATCTCCCTTCTCCCTCAAACTGTCCGCATGTAAAATTCAGATTATCCAATTACGCTTGTTTATCTGTCTTATACTCCGGATCACACCGTGAAATGCAATTTATAGTCCCTCTCCGTGTTTGTATACATTTGTGTAATCAGTCTACTTCTGGATGCAAATCGTAATTGTAACGTTATACGTTAGGTGGTTTCTTCGAGCAAAAAGTGTGGAAACCGTCGGATAGGTCGGCGAAGTCTTAGGGATGTTTCGCAGCAAGTGATCATATTCCAGGTTTAATGTAAAAAATCGAGACCTGGTGGGAACGTGAATTTTTTTTTCGGTTACTGTCAATGCGACGGCCGCTCGTGTGATCGACGGTGAATCACACCGAAATATCGTTTGCCTTCTGCATGGCCTTCTGTAATGCTTGCCAAGCTCGCGACACGTGTTAACGTTTTCCTGCTTTCTATTTTATTTCAACGATTTCCGAGATTCACACGATTTCTTTGTATGCTTTTTCTGTGGTGCAACGAAATGAAAAATTGTTATCCGAATCGAAGTGGAAACGGTGTAACGTGACGTAACAGGCAATTCCGTCTCACGAGGACTATCGTGATCAGTGACAGTTCATTAAAACGTCCACGTGTCGGCTCGATACGAAGTCAGCTTCCTCTCACGTGCCGCTCATTGTTCGCTGTTTTTACGCGATCTGGGCGGGCAGCCAGAGGTCCCGTTTCCGAACGCGTCGGTGGCTAATACAAACCTCATTCAACGTCCCGATTAGCACACGTGCGCGATTACGTGCGTTTCAGCTTTCGAACGTCGCACGCACGTGTCGAGGCAGCGCGCGCGAGTTAACGTCTGCAGTCAATCAAAAAGTCTTCAAATGTCAATTTGATAAAATACAACAGGGACAAATACGAGAACCAAGAGACAATTCATAAATTCAGTATAAATTACGGTACCTATCTATATGACGATTTCAATATCGATATCAATATTTGAAACAGATGCGAGGGTCATATATTTTCTCATAACCGTGTTTCCCATGTCCCGCGGTATCGTTTGTTCTTATTCGTTGGAAGAGGAGTGAGGGAGAGCCAGGCTTATTAGCAAGTACATCAGCTGTTCGTGAACATATGTCGCGAGCCGTTTGGCTCGTGCCAACGAAATCATGATCCCCTTCTCGAGTATTAACCCCTGCGCGACATCGGTTCGCACGCGTCGATTTCCGGCTGTACAATACGCGAAGGGGAGCATTAGGGGTTGTACGATAGATAACAATATGGATACTTATAATAATAATTGGACGTGAGACTTCCTCGCCTCCGTGCGACATACTCTTGAAAATTCTCTCGTTGATCTTTCAAATGCCGTTTATGTTCATTTGCGTAGAAATGGAATTCCCTAATTTTTAATTAACTAATTCTTGAAGGGCCACGAACACCTGATGACTTCTATTATTTCCACTGTTAGCTGTAAATCTTGTCAGAGAAACGAAAGTTAAAATATAACTGGAAATACCTCTCGAATTACATGATCATCCCATATTTCGTCCCGAGTATTAATGTCATACAAGAACAAATAGCCTAATTCCGGGAAGGTTCCAAGTCGATCTATAAAAAGTAATTTTATTGCCTCATTCCTTATTAAACCCGGACAAGATATTAGAGACCCGAGTGAATGTATAGTTCCAAGAAAGGAAAAATCCAAAAATTTCCACTGATCATTGATACTATTATACAGTCTGGCAATAGTACATTTTAATTGCACGAAATATACAAATAAATTCATATAACTAATTGGTACATAATTTTATTTTATGGAACCATTGAACACCACGTTATTGCCTATAAAATATTTTACTGGCTCGTACTGTATGCTTAATTTTCTATCTTTAATTGTTGCTTATGCCGTTGGATAAGGTCTGTTCATAACTTACAATTAGCCGTAATTCAGAGGCAATAAATAAAAGCGAACACGTGCGGTTCACGGAAAGTTCGCGTTTAGACGAGGTGGAAATTTGCATGGTGTGCCGTTAACATCTCCCGACGCAAACACGACGGACCTTCTGACCTACTGGCTCGGGCCAGAGTAACCATGAAGATCAAGAGGAAGGAAAGGAGGAGAAGTGAGAGCATTCTCACGGAGTGTCGAGTTCACCTGGCGGCGTGTGCGGTGTGCACACGCCGCCGTGTGCACTTCGCCCTATTTAAATGGCCTTTTCTGGCCCTTCCTCCTATTTAATTGAATGCTACCGCTTCGCGGCACACGCTCACAATACCGACGCACGTCATCGCTTCCGTATACGAACGTTCATACAAGCGACCTCGTTCTACTTCCGCAGGACCTTCCGGTAAAACCTGAATCGCCTAGCTTCCTCTGACCTTCCACCTCTTTGTTCGTCTTCCAAATCAAAATAGTACTAATCGGGTGGAGGATGTGGTTTGTTTACGTAGGCTCCTTGTGATACACGTTTTGAAATTTGATTCCCTTTTTTTGATACAGCTGTGTCTGGGTGGTATTAAGAAATTTGTAGGCACGCGCTCATCGACCGAGTAATTTCAAGCATTAAATGCAAATACGTGAATCGAGTACTCGTTTACCACGTGCATCGCGTTAGCATCAAGTCAGCGAATTGCTTATTGATTGTGTCGGATATTCGATACTCGGTTGTTGAGAATTTTTTCGTCCCGCATTGTTTCGCGTTCCACCTATTGAAATTGATTTGTAAACACCCACTTATCGTTTCTCGTTACGATTAAAGAACGTTTTCTTAGAGCGTCGGAACTGGCTAAATTCGGTGCGCTACAATTAGTTTAGCCGCAAGCTGAGCAAAGAACGAGGCTACTAAAAACGTGAGTAAGGAGTCCAAATGTTTTGGTGAGAAATGCAAATGAACCGGTGTCAGGTTAGAAGTTAAAATCGATAAAGGAGGCCTGCTGGCTGGCGTCTCGGAAGGGGGAAGTGGCTCCGATAGGACCCCAAAGGCGTTCTTTGTGGGGTCTTAGGCTGAAGATTGCGCACGTGCTCGGTTTTCCCACGCGTATAGCACGCAGCCGGTCTCTGGGTCCGAAGGGGGAGGACATCGAGGCTGAAAAGGGACAGGGTGCATTGTGTCGAGCACGGGTCTGAGACACTGGAAATTAAAGACCCTCTCTCGTCTGTTTCTCGCTCTTTTTTCCTCTTTTTCCACCCACGGCAAATGATGCCCGGTACAAATTGCCGGTAGCGTACGAATAAAACGATATCGAGACCCTCTTTTTCTTCCTGACTGGTTTACGTCGCTCCAAAGAAATTGCTCCAACACTTTCTACTCGAAAATTGCACACGTTAGTCGATCGCTAATATCCGAGAATTTTTCGAGAATTCATCGTTTCATTGCAATTTTATAAATATCAGATAGAAAACTATAAGTCAAATGTTTATTAGAGATACGAGCAGCTCATTGTTAAAAATCATCTGCAAATTCAAAGGATGTAGACAGTCTCTTTTCGTTAGTCGATCGTCGAGAGATTAGGGTGGATTTTGCTGTTTCACGTTAACCGTGACGCAGCCTTCAGGAGGACCACCTACGCCGGATACGTGCGCAGGTATAAACGTTTGATAGACGTGGTGGTTTCTTATCCCGAAATTCCAACCGAGTTGAC